AAAAAACATGATGTATCTATGGGCTCACTTTGAAAATATCAGTATAAGGCTCAAGTATAATTGTGCCAAGTTCATGCTTTATCATTTACTAAGTAATTCAAGCTGTATTTTGCACCTATCGCCTAGACTAGTTGTCTAATAAAGAAAATGTGGTGCCGGTATACATGAAGCTTTGCAAATACATAAAGACGGCTAGACAGAAGGTATATTAAAACTATATCTGTTCGTGATGCTGATAATATATAGAGATTTTGTTTGATGAGAAAACTCAACACTAACTACTGTAGCACATGGGGGAACACTGTTACTATGCATGTAGACATCAAAACGGGAAACTTGATGCACAATGCAATTTCCAATATAGCTGCATCATTGCTTGCATGGCTGTGTTGTCATCAAGAGAAATAATGAAACAATTTATTGGAATTATCCTCTAATACAAACCAGGAAGAGTTACCCATTTACAATCCAGAAAAAAGGGTGGAAGATATTTTTCCCCTCTTTTCCCCTCTAATCAATTCTTTTAAATTGTGTATTTATTTCCTCTTGTGACAAGATTTGATTTTAAAAATCGTCCAGCCCACCCTTGGTTTACAAATAGGGAACCCCTACACAATTAATAAAATGACTTCCCCCATTACAAAATATTACAACACATTTTATTTCCTTTTCAATTAATTTTCTTCTTATTCATTAGTGAAAAGTTTTCTTGCTGCATAATAATTATCTCTTTAGGACACATACATGGCAACTTCAAGGGAACACTTATTGCAAACATTTCGTGGAAAATGTTCAGACCCTCTGTATGCGTTTTAGCAGATTTCAATTTATAGAATACAATTTATACACATTTCCAGTTTACATGTGGACCAATTCAGACAGGTTTCCAATTACTATATGGTTTACTTTTATGTTGACTTTAGACAGCTTCCCAGATTACACAGGGTTTGCCCTTAACTGTTTACATGATTTTTGGGAAGGTAGGTAACAATTTGCCTAAAATAACTGATATGTACAAAAGAATTTTGATAACATCCCACCATAAAAATTAAATCAAAATTAAGTATAATTTTATGTATGAAATGCTAATCAACATAGTAATTTACCATATTTGCCCTCCAAGAAGTTTTGGTTACTCCAAGTATGTAACAGAAGATATAAGTGTGTACTGTATTTGCATTACAAGTACATTTAAGCCAAAAATAAAGTTTTATTTGTCACTGTTATAAGCAGACACACAGGCATCATGGTCTCTGTTGATCACCGGACACAACACTACAAAAAGTGAAATGTTTAGTTATGGCGTTTTTAATAACCATTTATGCAAGCAATGCTAAATATATATAAAATAACTTCTGAAATAGTTGTTATACAGTACAATAAACCAAACCAAATTTTCAGATGACAGAGCAAATATGGTATACCTGTGTTTTTTGTTATACAAATGTACAAAATATTATTGAAATTCAGTATGCAAATTAGCAAAGTATGATACCTATATATTGGACCAAAATATGTCATTTATGTTAACTCATACTGTTTCCTAATTTACTGTAGAAACGACCAGGATAAAATAACATCACTTACTGAATATAAAAAATAAAATTTCAACCATACAACTATATGTTAAGTAGGTAAATAAATATACAAGACATTCGATTCACATCCTAAAATTACAAATTTTTCCATTTCATACGATCTGTAATTGCATTTTTGGCTTCAAAAGCCTAAATAGATAGAATGATTAATTCCTTCATCTGCTATATAAAATCATCACATCTCAAACAAGTGAAATTAAACTAAATCTGGTATCTAATGATAAAAATTAATCGTTAAAACTAGCAATGATCCTACTGGTTTCCCTAACTTCCCTAAATTAACAACCCTTTTATATTACCCGATAAAAAAAAAATTAGTAATAGAATTATATTTAAACTAGTGACAGATGCATTTCTTACAATAGGCTTTGCATTACATTAATAAAAATGTCTTGTATCCAATTGCAACAATATACATGTTACATATATATACATATAGTAGTGAAGATCTACTTAGGGAAGCTTGATAAAAATAGCACACAAGACTCCCTAAGTTAATCATCAGGAAAATTCCTCTGGAATGTTCCAGGCTGTGTTCTGAAAGTACCTGACGTGTACGTACATTGCATATTCAAAACCAATCCAAGAAATGTAAAAAACAGCAATTTTAATTGCACTAAATATACATAAATTGGACTGAGAGCAGCCGACCACATTTTTATTTTACATGATATTTTTACTCACACTGAAAAAATAAACATTTTTTTATTTCTGGATGGCAATTGTCAAGTTGAATAGAATAACAATTGAAGCCTTTTTGTATGTGGTATCGACCGTGATCACTTATCATTATTTGACTTCTTAAGTAAAGGTATTTCAGCTCGTTCACGAATCTCAGCAAAAGTGTATTCCTTCACTAGTTTTCCATTTTTAAAAACTGTAGTTAAAAGATCCTGGAGGAGCAAAAGAGTGAGAAGCATCTCATTATACATACTTCTTGATATCACGAATATGGAATGTGTGCTACTTAAAATTATTTTTACTGTGTTTTGTGTGATGCATCATGAGAAATGATCAACAGAACAATTAGTATTCAATAGAAAAGGGAAAATAAAATTCCAAAATATAATTCGAGCCAAAAACAAAACAAAAACAATGATATACAATTTTTGTATTATGCCTGATTATTATTTTCCTTGTTTTTTCGCAAAACAAGGTGCATTTCATTTTGTAAAGCATCATTAAGCCAACCCCAATGGTATCATATCTCCATCAAATTAACATTAACATACGAAATATCACAAATCGAGAGCCCATTCCATCAGCTCCTAACCTAAAGTATATATTCTCACAATGTGCCCACAGCCTACTTACCTTTTTTGGATCTCCTTTGCCTTCTTGTACAGTTGTAAATTTACCATCCTCATATTCTAATGCCAGTTTTCCTTTCTTTGATTTTTTACCAAGATCTGTCACTGGTTGTTTGAAAACATTCACCTGCAACAAAATACAGAATTTCAAAAAATTTAATTCTAAATCAACTGAAGTACATTCTCCAACAAAATCACTAATAAGATCATCATTAGTATGTATAGGGCGTTTGTCATTCTATAACTCATGTATGCTAATTTGCAAGGATGTACCCTCCAAGTTAGCTGCAAATTTAGCGAAAAAAATCCTCTGTTAAAAAAGCAAGGAACACAACAATACTGAAAGATGTTAAATAATACCAAAGCCAATCAGGCCATACAAATTCACATCCACAAAATAAATGTGTCGGTAACACTGCTCACCCAGGATACAGTGGCTCTGGCCTCCCAACTGAGTGAGTGGCATACTCGCAAAAGGCACAACGACATTAGCCAACCCATTTAGTTTGGAGCATACTCGTCAAGCATACAGTGGATTCGCCTCCCCATTCAGGATGGCACTGGCCTCCTTATTCACCCCAGCATACAGTGGCTTATGTCGCTATCAAATCTGTGGCACACTCACCCATGGTACAGTGGCTTTGAACTCCCATTGAGTCTGTGGCACACTCACCCTAGTGTACAGTAACTTTGGCCTCCCCATCGAGTCTGTGGCACACTCACCCATGGTACAGTGACTTTGGCCTCCCTATTTAGTCTATAGCACACTAACCCGGGTACAGTGACTTTGGCCTCCCTATTTAGTCTATAGCACACTCACCCCGGTACAGTGGCTTTAGACTCCCCATGTAGTCTTTGGCAAACTCACAAATGGTACAGTGGCTTTGGCCTCCCTATTGAGTCTATGGGACACTCACCCGGGTACAGTAACTTTGGCCTTCCTATTTAGTCTATGGCACACTCACCCGGGTACATTGGCTTTGGCCTCCCTATTGAGTCTATGGGACACTCACCCGGGTACAGTGGCTTTGGCCTCCCTATTGAGTCTATGGCACACTCACCCGGGTACAGTGGCTTTGGCCTCCCTATTGAGTCTATGGACACTCACCCGGGTACAGTGGTTTTGGCCTCCCTATTGAGTCTATGGGACACTCACCCGGGTACAGTGGCTTTGGCCTCCCTATTGAGTCTATGGGACACTCACCCGGGTACAGTGGTTTTGGCCTCCCTATTTAGTCTTTGGCAAACTCACCCTAGCGTACAGTAACTTTGGCCTCCTTATTGAGTCTATGGAACACTCACCCGGGTAGTGTGGCTTTGGCCTCCTTATTTAGTCTTTGGCAAACTCACCCTAGCGTACAGTAACTTTGGCCTCCCTATTGAGTCTATGGAACACTCACCCGGGTACAGTGGCTTTGGCCTCCCTATTTAGTCTTTGGCAAACTCACCCTAGCATACAGTAACTTTGGCCTCCCTATTGAGTCTATGGCACACTCACCCTAGCGTACAGTAACTTTGGCCTCCCTATTGAGTCTATGGAACACTCACCCGGGTACAGTGGCTTTGGCCTCCCTATTTAGTCTTTGGCAAACTCACCCTAGCGTACAGTAACTTTGGCCTCCCTATTGATTCTATGGAACACTCACCCAGGTACAGTGGCTTTGGCCTCCCTATTGAGTCTATGGAACACTCACCCGGGTACAGTAACTTTGGCCTCCCTATGGAACACTCACAAATGGTACAGTGGTTTTGGTTGAGACCGTGGTTAAGAATACATCCCTTTTTAATGTTTAATTTAAACTAGACCTAGCAATGGGTTTGACAAAGCAACTACATTGATTCAGACAATGTCAAACTTACCTCTTTATCATTGATAATAGCATAGCTGCATTTAAAGGCACATTTCTGGGTGTCTCTGTCCAACCTCTGTAGAAGAGCCCCACCGCTACCAAACGCAATGTTATCAGCACTCCATTTTGCTTTCTTCATTCTTTCCAAGATTGAACCAAGCGTCTCATAGCTGATACCGTCACCTTGAATCACACGCAGATACGATGGAAGCATAGAATAACCTTTGCTGTTTTTGGTACTACCAAATGCTTTTCCAAGTATTGTAAGCACCTAAGGAAGTATGGCAAGTTAAAGGTGAGGTCACCATGCATTTTAGCATTGCATTTAAAATGTTGAATGGATATTCATGATTTAGGCTATTGTCAGATTGGGTTACCTTCCACAAAATATCAATCGTTTTTTGAAATCAGTGGCCGTTTTCAAACATTTGAGCATGCTACATTGTATATCAACTTTTGTTAAATGATAATTTAACAGCATTTATGAAGATGAAATTTTGTGAAAGTCAGTTACTCCATAGGATCCCGGTGAAAGGAACAGTTACCGCAATAAAATGTCATGTTTTTTTTCATTTATTTTGCAAAAATTTGCAGTTTGTGTATACACACCTCTGTCATTTACCAGAGAAAACAGAGGAAATACCAATACTTTATTTTGATTTTAGAACATGTTCATTAATGAAGCAGATTAAGCAATATTCTGGCTAGTGTGCATTTTAATATTACGTGCTATTGACACACAATTGCTTTGATTCAACTAGTTTTGCTAATTCACTGGCGCATCATTGATGCAACAAAAACTCTTATGTTGCTATAGTAACATTCAAAACAAATCTTATTATAGTTATGGAATTTGTGACTTGGTAAAATAAAGTTCACATTTTATAAACAAAAAGTGTTAAAACGAAAGAGAACACAACTTTTTTATTCGTATCTCAGGTCACTTATACAATCACATACTTTTATTTTTTCTTGAGTAATTTTTATTATGATATTTTGAATTGGTTTTTGTATGATTCCTTACAAAATGGTGAATGTTACCTTGATAACTACTTCAGGAGGATCTCCAGAATCTGGCCGAATTACCAGCGTGTTACCCCCTTTGCCACGCTTTATGACCAAATCTTTAAGTTCTTTTCCCCAAACATTTTGACACGCATTCCATATATCGTAGCTGTCGGACACTACCGCCACAAGACCTGTTGGAAACTGTTGCAGCATATTCCTGAAGGCATTCACCTCGCCTTTCTTTCCCCAGCTGGTTATCGTACTAGAAACGTGAAAAAACATATACATAAGATGACATAGGTAATGCATTTCCAATAGAGGATATACTGTATATTTTATTTTCACTTATGACAAATTGGTGACAATACATGTGTCAACATGAACAGTGGGAGTGGGTGTATTGCTTTCCCACTGACACATGAATGGTGTCCCCAGGATCAAGACTAATTTGCATATCAAATAGTGTTAATTGGTGTGTTTTTCTCATTAATTTATTTTTTTTGTCTTCAAAAAATCAAAATACTTGAAGGGCTCTGGGGGGAGAAGTGTAATCTGTAAAGGTACGGCGCCATAGTAACTAAAAGAATTTCGTTAAGTTTTAGATACCCATTATGAATTCAAATTGTTGACTAGGCTTTCAGCTGTTGAACATCGTTACACATAAATAACTAGATTAAAAACTGTTTGTAATCTGTACTGTATCCATATTCAGATACATCTGATTTCAATTTCAATAGGGCATTTCTTCCAGAGAAGCTTCTGACTAGAACTAGCAAAATATAAAAGTGGAACCATGTCGAGGAGTAACATTTCCAACCACTCACCTGTGTTCTGCCGCTGGGATGGAAAATCCAGCCATTTCACAACCATAGTATTTCCTAGCACAAACGATTCCAGCTAAAGTATCTGTACCCATAAAATTAACTAAATGCGAGGCGCCACCAATGGATGCACTCTAATACAAACAGACAATAGAAAAGTCAGTCGCAACAAAAAATAAATTGTGATAGGCATTCATACTGACATTACAATGTCAAGTCTACGTTTCCTGCATTATTCTTCATATCTTGACAGCAATCACAGCTGTGAATTGAATTTCTAATAGTTATGAAATTATGTACACCGTACACGTATTAAATATGTTATTATTATTTCAATTCTTATAGTTGGTATACATACAGTCAGAGAGGCCATTAAAATGCTAAAAAAAATCCTCTTTAATGTTCTTGACTATAATAACAACTTCACAGAGAAGAATCAGTCTCACCTCTACTGAAGAGGCACCACGGAAACCAAAATCGTGGAGCTTGAATGGTAATCCATCAAGGTTTTCTGCAGTCTCTGAAAGATACCTTGCTATGATTTCTTTTTGCGCTCTTGAATTGGTTGCCACAGTGAGGGGATACCACACTTCAACTAGAACTGTCTGTGGTGGGAAAAAGAACAGATGTTGTGTTCTATACATTAATAATTTCAAATAAATCAATGCTATGGTCATCATATTGTTAACTATTTGAGTTTCATATTTCTCCTGTCAAAAAATGGTTCAACATATTTTTACATTTCTGTGTAGCTTTCTATAATTCTTATATTATATTTTTATTATTTTCTTGCCAATTTTTGATAATAAATGTTGAAATTAATGCAGGTTTATTTGTGGTATTTGACAAAAGTTGACCTTGGCTTTAAGAGGGCAATTAGAAGCTTACTAACTTGTTAATGAAAGTATCCAGAATTTGTCCATTACGTTTACCACTGTGATATTAGCATGGACAAAGTTGTGGGAGAGGGGGGGGGGGGGTCATAAAACTATATTCTTTGAGAAAAAAGTTAAATACAGCATTGTGCCATATTGGAATCTTTTGTTCCCATGATGAGGAAAATTCCTCATATCTCAAATTTAAGTGTGGTGATAGACATGTATGTGGGGAAATTTGAGTATTGTGACTGACAACAGTACTTATTGTGTGTTAAATAAAACCAAAATAACTTGTTTTGGATAATAAATGGCATATTTTTTTTAAACATAGTTCTGTACAATATATTTGAACATTAAACTTTTTGTGAAAAATTCTTCTTACCAAAAAAATAAATGTTGCAACATATTGCAAATTTTAACATAATTTTCTATAATATTGAATCAGATGAACATAATTTCCCTGTAGGCATTGATCACACTTTTTTGGAAAGGCATAATCGTATGCACCCATATCGCACACACCGTTGTGCAATGAATGTGGTTAGGGCACAAATGGGTTAGGGCATCTAAACAAATAAAAACGGCATTCATGCGAAATGCAATTACACTCAATTATGCTCACCTCAAACCAGTTTGTGATCCACGGCACTTTGGGATCTGTATTCTCAACGCTAAATAAAACATTTTTAACTGGAACCAGGGTTCCTTCTGGAACTGCTCTGATTATGATTGGTATCCGACCTCCATGTTCCTAAGCAAGCCAAAGCATAGAGACTGATGATTCAGTAATTAAAATTCAATTATGGCTATACTTTGAAAAGAGAAAATACTAAAAGGTTGGGGTTCTGGAAAAGAAAGCAGGGAAAGGGAAGAGAAGCAAGGAAGAAAATGAAGCTAAGACAAGTAAGGAATTAGAAGATGAATGAGCAAAAGGAAGACAAAGGAACAGATGTACAGAAATTTTAAATAAGTGTTTTTAAATCAAAATCACAGTATGCATTCAAAAGTTAAAGTGCACGCTCACCTAAAAATGCATGATTTTAACCCAAAATTCACACTACTTAATACAATATCATGGTACATTATTGTAAACCATAGAACTGGAAAGTTTAAATAAAACTCTTTCAAATGATATATAACTTGATGGGTAAAAGTTACAGAAATTAAAAATAATGTCTCCCAACCTGCATCTCTACCTTAAGATAAGAAGATGACAGAATTTGGAAAATAGATATTTATGACAAAATAAAATAAACCTTTGAAAAGTGACACAAAGATGATCCCAGAATCGTATGATTAATGTATATTTCTAGATGTACTCATGCAAATGAGTGAATCAGTGAAAGAAATGTTTAGTGTTCATCTTAGACTTTTGTTGGTGTCCTTAGTAAGTAAGTACTGAGCGTTTTTTGACTAGAGCTAAAATCTCGCACATTTATGCACTGCATTCTATGATGCAAGTGGATAGATACATGTTTGATTTTCGCAAGAGATCATGCAGAATGGAATATTTATCGCATATAAACATACATGACTGCTTTTACCTTAAGTATGTAATTCCAGCCTTCTTCATGAAACAAATTGTCTTGACCAAAATGTAATTTGTAGAATTCCTTGGCTTCTTCAATTTTCTCTTTAGTCACCACCTGACCAATTAGCCACTTTTTGATAACATATTGTAAGCCGAAAAACACAATTTCAGGAAATTTCCCACCTCTGCATTCAAAGTAAGAGTAGACAGTGGTCGTGCCAGGTGGATATTGACGATAGTGTGTTACCTGTTGAAAGAACAAATGGATCAGTGTATGTTAGCATAACTTAAAATAACATAGAAACAATTGCTTCTGATGACAGCTTTTCGGTATAACTGTATAAATTCTTAAAGTTAGTGCAATAATTTATGTAACGTACTTTGATTTGCAATTGCTAATTAACATGAATTCAGAATACAATTCAAAAGTGTTAGCAAGCGAAATTCAGACAAACAATCCAACAGAAAGCCGAAATGATCGCATGTTCCTGCAGTTTTCACAAATTCAGTCCAGGGCTCGAACTTCTTGGAGATATGAATGCCAAATTAGTTTGCCATGGTGCCCCTTGGTATTATATATATTATTCATGGTGCATATCCCTACAACATCAAATAAAATAAAATTGAAACTAATGAATAATCCTCATTTTATTATACATTGGATACCTCTAAATTTAAATATATATCTATATTTTGCTGCTATTAATTTTGCGATTTAATAGTTTGAAGGCATTTGCTAGGACAACAATTCATGAATGTTATGATGACTCCCTAGGACCCCCGTGAAAATCATAGTGACTCTATTGGACCAACAGTGACTCCCTAGTACCCAAGTGAAAGTTACAGTGACACCTAGACTGTCAACAGTGTTCAGGCCTAATTTGTTAGTATACTAAATTGGTCTGAGTACTGTTAACGCTGTAAATGCCCTCATGTGACATAACATGGTTTTCTACTGGTACTGAACAGAGAATGATTGACAGCTCATGCAACGTCACGAAGCAACCAGCCAATCACAGATTCAATGGCAAGTCATTGCATACTGTACACAGGAATTACCAGTAGTGAACCGAGCCATGCTCCGCCTTCTATTAAAACCATGTGACATACATCTGCCTGCGGCGTTTCTTGTTGGCATCTTAACAAATTAGCCCTGAGTACTGTCGACAGTCTAAATGACACCACTTCTCAAGAAAAAGTCACAGTGACTCCATATGGATGCCAGTGACTCCCTAGTACCCAAATGAAAAGCCACAGTGATTCCATATGAACACCAGTGACTCCATATGAACACCAGTGACTCCCTAGTAACCAAATGAAAAATCACAGTGACTCCATATGATCCCAGTGACTCCCTAGTACCCAAGTGAAAAGCCACAGTGACTCCATAGGACCCCAGTAACTCAATAGTACCCAAGTAAAGTCACAGTGACTCCATAGGACCCCAGTTACTCCCTCGTACCCAAGTGAAAAATCACAGTGACTCCATATAAACACCAGTGACTCCCTAGTACCCAAGTGAAAAATCACAGTGACTCCATATGAACACCAGTGACTCCAGTACCCCCAGCAACTCCCTAGTACCACCAGTGAAAATCCACAGTGACTCCATAGAAACCCCAGTGACTCCCTAGTACCCAAGTGAAAAGTTACAGTGACTCCATAGGACCCCAGTGATGACTCCTGTAAATAAGATAATAATGAACCACTCACTGGTGAGTCACTGTGCCATTACAGTACTTAGTTAATCCACATATAACCTACATCCACAACGATTTATAAGAAGGTATGCAAAATATACAAAAATGTACGTCTTGCGTTTTTTAAATACGATAATAAGTTCACTTAATTCTGTTAACACAATCAGACCTTTACAAATGTCCACTGTATTTGATGGTTACATGTAGAGTGACACAAATGTAGAATAGAATATTGATCGCATATCACATTACAAAGATATCAATATTAAGGTAGCATACCCTAGTAAATCTTTGGCTTAGGCTGGCTAATAACATAAACCTCTAAAACCAATTAAATTTGACAGTATTTGGCAGGGTTAAAATACCAGCATATATTATAATAAAGTAAGTAAACTGCAAAGTTTTTTTTATCAGATCTTTGAAATAAGATACTGCATATAAACATGGAAGTATTCTCTGGCTGATTTAATATTACTAGTAGTTATAATCACAGTAATTTGATGGAACTACTACAATTTTAGTTACTATTTATGGTTCAATTATTTACTATAGCCACTGGTTACGTAAATTATGAAAGAGACAACCGATCTCAAGATGACCTTTCACTTTCACCGGACACTTAAAACAATTCTAGTGGTGTGAGTGGTAAATTGGAGGAACTGTATCGCACTCAAGCACTTGACAAAACCAGGTTTTCGTGACTTCGGTGGACAGCTGGTAAACCAGTGCATAATGTAAACGAAATAGTATGGTCGACAAGATCGACAACAGCGGCTTCGTTTCGCTAATTTATGGTCTAATTGTTATAGTATTTGCTTCCTTGCTATTTGGTGTCTGCTTTCTCCTGTCAATAGTGAAGTGTGGAGAAATTTTGGACTTCGAATATCGACGAAGTCCGATCTATTAGTATGGACTACGGTCGCCCTGGAGATCTGTTACACACGGTTGCAATCAAAGGTTATAGTGAAAGTGTCACTATGTTAATTTCACATTTGGTTGTTGGCCTAATGTTCCTGCCATGTTGTTCCCGGTAAACCATTATTATGTTAGACATTCTGTGTGTTTAATTAATATAACACCCCACCTTGTACGAGTCTGTTAGAAGCAGCGCGTTGTCCATACACACCGGTACTGCAGCCATGTTTGCACGGTTTTATCGGATTCTAATCGTGGCGTTCCTGGAAGATACATACACAGTCAGTTCACGAGTATCCACACGCACAGTCCACAGTGACTCAACCTATAAACCAGTTAGATATGCAAAACACTATGTGACGTTTCGCCGCTTTGAATGATGTCATGTGACATAAATAGCGCCACTGAATGAACGTGTTGGGTCTTGTAAATGCCGCGCGATTGATTCATCAGCAGATTCATTGTCAAAATCGCTGAAATGCTTGCCTTGCTGTTTTATTTCAAGCTGGGTTGATTTGCGTGACACATTCATTTTAAATAAATGAATAAACAAGTGAATAAATAAATAAATAAATAAATAAATAAATAAATAAATAAATAAATAAATAAATAAATAAATAAATAAATAAATAAATAAATAAATAAATATTTACTACAGACTATAGGCTGAGCATGTTACCGAGCAATGAATTATGGGAGAATGTCTTTGGAAAATATTATTTTGTGAATGTACTATAAATTAAATTAAATAAATTAAAATGGCCAATCCTTAATCTGTTCCAAGAAGACAATGCATATCGTGCATATCGATTTAGTGCCCACCGCATATCCAACCACACCCGCTAAACCAGATAAAAGAAACCTGTGTTCTCAAGTGTTGTTTGAAGTGCTGGGGGGGGGGGGTTTAGAATGAATATTTTATGTATACATTGCATATCTATTTTGTTCACGCTTTCTATTTGTGTAAGGAAAAAATGAACTATTGACTTATAAATCGACCTCGAATTACGAGAAAATGTTTGTTGCTGAATTGCCAAACATTGAATAAAATGCACTTTTATTATCATGTCTATATGTATTGTGTGTTTTTTTTTGTGTGTGTGTGTGTGGGGGGGGGGCTCTGGTGGGTTATTTAACAGCAAGTATCATTGAATGCCCAACTCAAGGCAGAGCGAGTAAAATTAATATAATTTGTTTTATAATATACATATGTGACGTGATGTTACAACGACGAAGAAAATATGGCGTATTACTTAATGAGAAAATTTATATACAAAATGTGCGTACTGTGTATTACAAGGTAATATGATATTAAAAACAATTGCATTATTGTTAGGCTTTTAGTGATGAAACGTGCTTTAATTGTGATTTTAAAATGCTGTAAAATTGAATATGGTATTTCAGTTTGGTCCTTCAGGGAACTGTGGAGTTCTATGAGTATGTAAGACTTGCAACTAAGTTTATATGCAACAGTTATTACATCGATGTACTTACGCCGTTGTCAGTTATATCACTACGAACAGAAATGATTGATGTTATATTTTGAATCTTGACTTTTTTGAAATTATATCATGTTTTGTAACAGCAGATCCTAGGGCATGGCTACCAGGTACCTAGATGAATAGTAAATTACAATCGATACCAACTCGCACTAAATCCAGTAGACACTGCTACAATATACGTAACAAAATACCCAATTCGATAAGACAATTCATTCGGTAAAAAGAAGTAAAATTTGATTGCGATTCAGGTCTGGTCAAATGTCGTGAAAGCTTGCAACATACATTAGACATAGATATCAACATTTAGAGAAAAAAACAAACAAAATTAAATATTAAATCGTTTCTAGATCTGAATGACTACGTATTACGCTATTACATTACATATTTTATTTGTTAGTTCTCATAGTTGTTTTTACATGATTTATATAGTTTACAAGACTTTTTATTGATTAATAGTGCATTACATGTATTAGTGTAGTGCAAAATGTATTGGCGACAAAACACAACACTACTCTCATTTCACGACATCAAATACATACTTTCAATATTACCAAATGTTATATGACAACCCGTATTGCTATGTCCCATTTGACGGAACTTGTCAAGATTCGGTTGCATCCATTCTATACAGGGCCACAAACAATGCAATTATAACGAATTCAATAGCTGTACTGTATCATTTCGCTATTTTAAAAAAACATCGAATACTCAATTTACAACAAGAACAGAAAGGACCACAGAAGATAATGAACATTCTTTTCACTCCAGGTCATTATGCACAAGAGATATATTTTCTCTTTAATCCATAAATATTTATCACATTGGCTTTGATAATCACATACATCTATAACGACTTAACTATCACTCTCCAGCTCTGCACTGTAGAGGCTCTGCAATCATCCATTTTCTCCTGATACGTCAATCATTGAATTACTCAATTATTTATCCACAAGGAACAGCGAGTGGTTCCTATTTATATGAGATATAATTGTCAAAAAGCTGATAAATGTTACACACTCCACTGATTGGTAATACATTGTCTGCTGAAAGACTCTATTGACGTACCAAAACATGTAAGAAACAATTCAGTAGGCAATGTGTTATTGCATCTTCACTAACTAGGTGATGCAAATTCAATGAGCAATATTTTGTTAAAGCGAGGGAGTCGTCATCTGCGCATGACCATACCAACTTGTATGCTGTTCTCTAGAATTATATGACTACATTGCGCCGTCACGACAGAAACAGACTCTCTGCGAAGCTGTTTGAGACGACCTGAATATCATTCACCTGAATAACCATGGAAGTTTATAAAGCTAAACACGTGTTTGGAATGACCAAACACACCGTGTCATCATTGTCTCGACAATGTTATCAAGCACGTCTATACATCTTTAGTGAAACCACATCTTGAATACTGCAATCAGGTATGGAGTCCGTATTTGATTAAGGATATTTCTCTTCTGAGACGTGTCCAGTGTTGTGAACATTTGTTTTTCATCACAGACATAACAAGTGTATCTTATTAAAAAAGGCGTATAATTCTCTGATATTAACTTTAATAACCGAGGATTCTCCAATTCAGATTTACCACATTTAACCTAGTATTGACAGGCTGAAACCCTATATGTTTATCAACCTATATTTGAAAATGGTAGAACTTTCAAAAGATAGTTATAAATATGGTGAAAAAATAAAAAAATATAAAAGCACTGATCAGTAGTACAACACGGCACACAGATGAAAGGACTGTGCAAAGTGCAAGATCTATTTAATTGTTTTTCGTAATCACTTGAGGATTATGGCTATGGTAGTTCCTGTTGGTGCATAGACAAGTTATAGCGCCACCAGTCGGTTTCGGTACGAGAATGGGGGGTTGATTTCTAGCTCTCGCAATTTATTCACTGGTTTCCCTGCTTCCCGCGCGTTCAGATGGGCTATCGAATGTTCGCATGGCAAAATCAACCTCCAATACGCAGACGAAAATAGAAGCTTCTAAGGTAATCGCTGAGCTCGAAAATTGTCCATTCATCAAGTTAGCTGACAATGGAAAAACAAAGTAGGTCAAAGACTGACTGGACATGATGAGCCCAGAACGATTTAGTTATCAGTGAGTTGCAAAGGGTGTGTGTTGACGAACAACATATTTGAACCACTGATCGACATTTTTAAACCATGAAGCAAGCAACTGGATGTTTTGACAACCGATATTGTTAGCCGATGAAACTGGCCTTTATTACATCTTAATTGACTGCAAACAATCGAGTTGGTTTACACAAAGACACAAGGAAATTGTATTTTATGATGTCTTTGGTTTACTCATGCGTCCGTAGTTAATACTACTAGTTAAAATTGCATACTCAACTGGGTAGTTCGTTATTTTATCGATGAATGCTACTTTGTGTACACACAACAGGGCAACATAATATCATATCAATGCATCAACATGTGAAGTGACGTTGAACCAATGCTTCGCTGGACTAATACAGAACCAATGCACTGACATACGAATGGAGCGATGAAACCGGTGAGGGGGGGGGGGTTACTAGTGAAAACAAACCAACCAGTAATCAAAGGTATCGTATTTTTACTGTGCGTCAATACAGTAACGTGATGTTAACCAACATTTCACTTGACTGATGAGGGTCCAATGCACCGACAGAGAAATGCACTTATGCACTAGCCGAGTAACGTAATGTTAGATCAATGCACAGACAGAGTAACGTGACTATATTCAAATCGAGACGATGCGTAAACACCAAAAAATAAATACTTTCTCCGCCATGCACCAGCAACACATGTACTAAATATTTTACTTCACTGTTATCTACACTTATCGTGAAACCTTGTGATAAAACACTCTGTTGCTTAGTGGTTCTGGGAGGAACCACAAGACAAAATGTTTGCATCATGCTTTGAACATCATACTGCGAAAACACTCAATGATGGTAACATAAGCCTCAATCCTCTATACCATTATATCAACACTAATATGCAATGTGAACTGACACTTCTGCCAATGTTTGAAAACTTGGGTTGGTGCATATTATTGCCACAGTTGCGCAGCAAAGAATATCCCACACGTGTTAAGATTCAATAATTTCTGAACATAATGCAGATATTCAATACCCCAAATCGACTATGCACTCGTGATGTAAGATTAGATTCTTAACTATGAAATACATCGCAAATATTGTTAATAGACGTCCAAATACTGGCAAAGACTTTCTCACTACAAGATGTCACAAAAGTATGTCGTTAGAAAACTATGACTCGAGAGATAATATGCGGCAGAAATGAACTAGTTCTAAAAATAACAAATCTCTGCTAAAATAAACGTTATTTAAAATCAACACAGGTACATGAATTCAGGTTTATAGTATTTTATATGTTTCAAGTTCACAAACCTCCTCTCCCGGGGAAAGGGCACTTGACTGGTCGAGGGATATACATATATATTCGGCCGAACATGCCCATCTGAACACATTTGATGTCTAAATACGCAAAATTGAACTCTGATTGGGTGTAGTTTTAGAGGCGCCCCCAATCTGATCTATGCATTTAACGGAGGTCAAATACGCGACCTCTCGGGAGACTAGCACACGGACTCGCGAGGGAGTATATTTAACTCCCATTATTACGTGTTCGCCCTCTCGAGGTAGGTCTATATATTCGACAGTGTAGTCAAGTCTACTTTAACGTGAGACAATTAAATAAGTATACCAGTAACTGTAACCATAACAACAACATAGCAAATAACAATTCAATGCAATGACAATTGAAGTAACGAGTTATTCACACCTTTACAACCACGATACGGGCGGTTAAAGTAAATACATTAAG